AGAGAGAGAGAGAGAGAGAGAGGGCGAGAGAGAGAGAGAGATGGAGAGAGAGAAAGGGAGAGAGGGTGTGTGGGATGGGGAGAGGGAGGATAGAAATGAAGAGACCCCCCTCCCCAAATTGCGAAATTGCATATTAGCCGAATCGCTATTTACAACGCTGTAGTGATTAAGAAGGCGGCACCTCGGATTCATCGTTTAATGGTTTCATCTCTCTTAAATTACCGGTCAGCAAGTTCTTGATCTCAGATTCTCATAAACCCTGTTAGTGATTTGTTTGTTATAGTAGAGGTTTTACAGCGGTCGCAACTGCATAAGGTCATATGAGCGCCAATCTATGAGTGGTGTCACAGAAAACCTAAACAATTAAAGGAGTCAGAAAAATAAAGGGTGTAAATCACACTTAGGTTGTTTCATGAATTATACAAAAATCTAAAACAAACAAACAGCAAAACAAAAACATTTTAACAAACAGCTGGACTATACCAAGAATACGCTACCCAGTTGGGGAAAAGATGTAAAAGTCATAAATGTGAATGAAAACAATCTTGACATTTTCTTCAAATGTTATAATATACTGTCATGGCTCCCTTGACATGTGACATTTTACAAGGAACACTATTTTTAGCAAAACGTAGCTTATTATTCTGACACTTTAAATCACACACGTTATAATCAGTTATTAACATTTTCTTATGCAAGGTGGAATTGTAAAATGGGCCGATTTATCAATATCATACTCGTACTGTGCAGGGACCAACATTGGGGGAACTGCTGCTTTTTCTTTGTTCATCCTAACTATCGTCATTTTCCTCTACTTTTCTAATATGTTTGTCACCCTCTTGTGAACTGCTATTTCCGGGGTGCCTTGATAGTCGAAGCAGACTTTGTGCTGTTGAGGCTAGAGAGGGGAGCGGGGTAAGCCTGATTCCCCGTTTGGACTTCTCTGTTGACATCCACCCCTTGGTGCTCAAATGGCCCTATGCAGTCGCGAGCGCCGAAAAACATTACTAGAAAAATGTTTATGGGTGGTAGGCGAGTGCTCTGATGTGGTTTGCTTCTTCTTTCCTATCAAACTTCTATCGTCATTATCTCCCCTTCTTCTTTTTTATGTTTGTTACTCTTTTGTAACGGCTTTTCTTCTGGCGCTCATAATGACCGTATGCAGTTGCGAGCGCCGTAAAACCTCTACTAAAACTAAAACTAAAAATAAAATATTAACAAAAATGTTTTTGTTCTTTTTTTTCCTGCAGGTCTGGACTCAGCCGGTAAGACAACTATTCTGTACCGGCTAAAGCTGGATGATTTGGTGACAACCATACCTACAATTGGTGAGTGACAGTATGGTGGTGGTGGTATGATCCTTTGTTTAGAAGTAGTAGTAGTAGTAGTAGTAGTAGTAGTAGTAGTAGTAGTAGTAGTAGTAGTAGTAGTAGTAGTAGTAGTAGTAGTAGTAGCAGTAGCAGTAGTAGTAGTAGTAGTAATAGTAGTAGTAGTAGTAGTAGTAGTAGTAGTAGTAGTAGTAGTAGTAGTGGTGGTGGTAGTAGTAGTAGTAGTAGTAGTAGTAGTAGTAGTAGTAGTAGTAGTAATGATCGTCATAATAATGATCATATGATGATGATGATGATGATGATGATGATGATGATGATGATGATGATGATGATGATGATAATTACCAGTATAATCGTGTCTTTTTACGACAGGCTTCAATGTGGAGAGCATCCAGTACAAGGATTTGCATCTCACGGCCTGGGACATCGGGAGCCGTGATAAAATTGTGAGTTTGCTCATGAACATGCTTTGGTTAGTTTAATTATTTTTGTTCAATATGTCCTTTTTCTTGAGTGTACTTTATATTTTATTTTTAACTCTTTTGACAAATTTGTCTTGGTCTAGAAACACAAGAAATAATTTTTATCGCAGTAACAGTTTGAAAGGCTTTCATTAAAAAATTAAGTCTTTTAAAATAACTGCGTTTATATCTAGGTACTATGTTCTCTGCGCTTTACAACTGTTAATACACCAGCAGACCCAAAAACACGACTCGGAAGAAAATATACTCTCGGCTTCCTGGGAAGCATAGGGTGCAAGCTGCGGGTTGCACATGCAAACTCATTAACAAAATCTTGATAAGATCTTTCGTTTCCTAAAGCCGGATACACCGCGACGTCTGTAGTGTGGAGGTTGGGCGATGTGCTGTTGCACGCAGGTGACCCAAGTCAGATTCCCGAGTGGGGAGAAGTTGTGTCCTGACGTGGTGGAATCAGGTGCTCGTCAATTTTTGGGCATGTGGAGTGAGGTACTGGTATCATCAGAAATCGTATTCATTTGCCTTGCTTTCTATGAAAGAACATCCATTTATGTTGAGTAGAAGTCTAAATATTTGCAATTGAAGGAGATTGGGTAGCATGGTTTCAGAGATTCAGAGATAAAATTAGCGAGAAAATGGCGCCAAAGTTTGGTACCATCTATAACTTGAGAGTCCTTGAAAACTGAAAATTTACTTATTTTGTGCTATTTATCAACGTTTTTCCAGTAACATTCACACATGGGTAGGGGGGGGGGTGTTTTTAGATGGACGAAAAAGGAGTTGATCCAAAAAACAAAAATTCGTTAAAATTGTCAAACTGGAGCAAACGTGCCTTTTTCCTCGGTTTAATTATTTTGACAAACACCTGATTTCACCATAATGCCTCACAATTGTTATCAAGGAACTCGGTCTTTCTGCAACGATATTGTTTCCACCTCAGCTCGAGTTGGCCCTGACAGATAGGGTCGTAGGGTCGAAAGCCCACCTCTTAAATTATCAAACTTGTATCTAAGGAGGAAACTACACCTGCATTTATCTTAATATTTTTTTTAAGCCAGATATTCATTCCTAATTGGCTGAAGTGAGGAAAATTCATGTAAAATACCTTTCCCAAGAACACAAAATTAGACCTCTGGCGTGATTCGAATCGACAATCATTATTATGGTTGAGAATTCGAGACTTAACTCTCTAAGTACACATTTATTTATACACAGACTCTAAATCATGTTCACGCAAAAAACAACCTTTTATTACGTACACCTCGGTGAAAAAAAAAAAAAAAAAAGAAATCGACGCTTTAACTACATGTAACTTGGTTAAGCAGGGTTTGTCTTGTGTGTACAATCTGACAAGCCTCATTGTTTGTCCTTTTTTGTTTTCCAACTTTATTTTGGCCATTCTACGGTAGCACCACATTTCAAACGCATTTATTTTGTTTTCTCCTTTCCTTGTCAAAGTCCAGGTCTCTGCGCTATATAGGAATATGGGGAAGATGTAGCATTCCAGCATTTGTATTTTCTTAAAGTGAGAGATATTTGCATGGATTTAAATGATGTGTACGTGTGGCTAAATCTTGATGTTGCCGCTGCTGCTGTTCTTATGTTTAATTCTTTTTCACTTCTTCCATCATCTGTGATTGTTGCCCCTAGCTAGATACTTGAATTGGTGAACTTGTTCGTTTCTCTCCCATATGTTGTTTTTCCTGAAAATTTTGATAAGACCATTGTAAATGTAGACTTAAATATATTTAAAAAAACGACTCCTGAGTGAGTTGTTTTTTTCACTCTGGAGTGACAGGCAACGAGGAGGCTGATAGGCTGGCAGACAGTGCCGTGGTTGATGGTGAAGTAAAATTTGACAAAGGAGAAGTGTTGAAGACCCTGGAGAAAAAGTTGCGGGATGAGGAAGACAGGGAGACAGCAGAACACCACGCAATCATTAGGATGCGGGAAATGGGGATAGAGAGGGGAGAAGGAAAAAAAAGGAACGATTATCTGGAAAGGAAAGACGTCGCCATCATCAGACAGCCACCGGAACAATCAGTATGTATGGATACCTTGTGGGCTTTGGTGCTGGGGGGAACTGAGCACTTATGGACCTGTCCGGTGTGCAATGACGTTGTTGCCCAGGACAGGTAATACAGGTAGGTTAAAAAAAAAAACAAATGTTCATTACGTTCTCCTTGTGTTGTCCACAGCGACCGCTGTTCCGGCACTACTACAAAGGGGCGGACGCTGTGGTCTTCGTCATCGACAGCCACGACCCCGAGCGATTGGACGAGCTGAACTATGACGTCATCAAGCCGGCCATCAATGCCGAGGAGTTGACGAGTGCTGTTTTTCTCTTCCTGGCCAACAAGATGGATCTGCCCAACACGATGAGCACGGACGAGATCTCGGAGCGTCTGGGGCTCAAATTTCTCAAACACGCTTGGGGTAATGCTTTGTAGAGAGTCGCTTAATGTCCAGTTTATAATAATATACATTTTAGTTGGAGTAAGAGTACATGTATTACTTATGGCACTTGCAACAAAATAAGGTCATATAAGTTCCGAGGATTAGAGGTATTACAAGAGAGTAACAATCAGAAAATAGAAGGAGGGGAGAGAAGGATGATAGATGTTTGATAGGAAAGAAGGAGCAAATCACACCAGAGCACCTGTCAACCATCCACACGTAAAGTCCGATTTTGTAAAATTAACATAATGTGGACGGTGGGACGTTTTTTTAATAAATAAATTGTTGTGTGCCAGTTCGACTGGATCTTGGCCGATTCGACTAAATCAAACAAATATGTAATGGTGGATGAAGGGGGAGGGGAAATGAGGGGGGTCTTGGTCGTTTCTCAAACATGTTTGGTTGGGGTAATGGTTGTGAAGAGTCAACTAATGTCTGATTTTTTAGAACTAGTGTAGTGAGGACGGTTATATAATATTTTGAAAAGATTTTGTCGTGTGGTAGTTTGATTGTGTATGGGCCGATTCGACGGAATGTAATGAATCGAATCACGTCTTACTCGAAAAATATTCTCCCTCACACGGGAATCGAACAGGATTTCCCTGCACCCACGGAAAAGCGTCTAACCACCACGCCACAGGTACAGGCAGTTTCCTGGCTTAGAACCAACTGCTTTGTCATCGAAGTTAACCTAGAGCGTCGGTGGCCTAGTGGTTAGGCTGGTAGGCTACCGGACTGGTAATTGTGAGGTTGTGGGTTTGGGGGTTCGAGCCGCGACGTTGAGTCACAGACAGTGAAATTTCTTGTCAGTATGTTACTGTTTTAGAGCCTGTAAAAGGCCACTTGCACTGTATGTTTCCCAGGAAGTTGATGTTGTTTCAGAAAGCTCTCAGGTCTTCTGGGGTAATAGTCTACGAGTGAGTGTTGAGCTGTTGAGCTGTTGTACGGGGATTAGCGCTATACAAATTATACTATCTATTATTATTA